GATAAGGAGCCACAGCCAGGCACCGTGACTCATGCCTGTAATCCCAGCACTTTGGGAGGCCCAGGTGGGTGGATCACTTGAGGTCAGGAGTTCGAGACCACCCTAGCCAACATGGTGAAACCCCGTCTCTACTAAAATTACAAAAATTAGCCAGGCGTGGTAGCGCACACCTGTAATCCCAGCTGCTCCAGGGGCTGAGGCAGGAGAATCGCTGGGACCCCAGAGGTGGAGGCTGCAGTGAGCCAAGATCAGTGTGACTGCACTCCAGCCTGGGAAACAAGAGCGAAACTCCGTCTCAAAATAAAACAAACCCATTGTCTCCTGGATCAAGTCATGGTCATTTCATTACAAGTGTGATTTTTCAGGGACAGTCTAGATTTTATTCAGTTCCATTCTTTTCAGCTATGATGGTTATTTGTTTGTTTTGGTTTTGTTTTTCAGATGGGGTTGCCCAGGCTGAAATGCAGTAGTGCCATCATGGCTTACTGCAGCCTCAACCTCCCAGGCTCAAGAGATCCTCCTGCCTCAGCCCCCAAGTAGCTGGGACTACAGGCCTGCACCACCACGCCTGGCTCATATTTTTAAATTTTTTTGTAGAGACAAGGTCTAGGCTAGTCTTGAACTCTTGGGCTCAAGTGATCCTCCTGCCTTGGCATCCAAAGGTGTTGAGATTACAGTTGTCAGCCACTACACCCAGCCATGATTTGTTAAATGCAGGTCCCCATGTGATTTTATTAGTATATATTTTGTGAGACTTTTTTTCCAAGTGAATAAATCCACAAAGTAGAGAAAACCTAACCAGACAGACAGTGCCATGGCCCTGTGGCCATGAGTGGAGGCAGCCCAGTCTGTCCTGATAGCTTTTCCAGGAATACCCGCCAAGAAAGCAGAAATGGAAAGCTGGCATGAGAGGAAGCCCAGCGAAGATCAGCTCCTGAACCCAACTCCCCCACCCCACGCCCCTCCTTTCCCCCCGTGTTTCAGACAGGGGAGGCAGAGTGCAGAGAGGAAGGGAGGATGTGATCTTTTGGGAACAATTACCTTGAGCTGAGTTGTGTACTGGGGGCTTCCATATAGAAGATCAACTCTATAGCCACCCTCTAGGTAGATGTGGGAGGCTCCATTTCATAGATGAGAAAATCAAGGCTCAAGGTCCTCTGGGGTCTGTATCCTTTCCTGATGTACCTTCTCTTCTGGAGTTCTCAGGCCTTCCTTGGCTTCCCCTCCTCCTTTTTTTTTTTTTTTTTTTAAGGCAGAGTCTCACTCTCACCCAGGCTGGAGTTCAGTGGCATGATCTTGGCTCACTGCAACCTCTGCCTCCCCAGTTCAAGCGATTCTCCTGCCTCAATCTCCCAAGTAGCTGGAATTACAGGCATGTCCCATCACACCTGGCTAATTTTTCTATTTTTAGTAGAGATGAGGTTTCACCATGTTGGCCAGGCTGGTCTCGAACTCCTGACCTCAGGTGATCTGCCTGCCTCAGCCTCTTTGGGTTGAGGCTGAGGCAGGAGGATCACCTGAGGTCAGGAGTTCGAGACCAGCCTGGCCAACATGGTGAAACCGTGTGTCTACTAAAAATACAAAAAAATTAGCCAGGCGTGGTAGCATGCGCCTGTAACCCCAGCTGCTCTGGAGGCTGAGGCAGAAGAATCTCTTGAACCTGGGAGGTGGAGGTTGCAGTGAGCCAAGATCGTGCCATTGTACTCCAGCTTGGGACACAAGAGCGAAAATCCATCTCAAAAAAACAAAACAAACGAAAAGCAATATAAGATGCTCTGATTTAAAGGAAAATCTGAAATATCATTTGCCCCAAATCCCCAGGATCAGGAAATGAAACGTTTGCCATAACAACAAGAAGAAAGCATGCTGGGGAGGGAAGGTCACAGGTGACCCTCTGCAAATTACTCAGCCTCTCTGAGCCCTTCCATACAATGAGTTGATAGAATAATGGTGATTCTGTGGCCCATGTTAAAATTTGGGCCAGCCTATAATCCCAGCACTTTGGGAGGCAGAGGCAGGTGGATCACGAGGTCAAGAGATAGAGACCATCCTGGTCAAATAGTGAAACCCCGTCTCTACTAAAAATACAAAAAATTAGCTGGGCATGGTGGCGCATGCTTGTAATCCCAGCTACTCAGGAGGCTGAGGCAGAAGAATTGCTTGAACTCAGGAGGTGGAGGTTGCAGTGAGCCGAGATCGCGCCATTGCACTCTAGCCTGGTTAACAAGAGTGAAACTCCATCTCAAAAAAAAAAAAAAAAAAAAAAATTGGGGCCAAAATGCCTTCAAAACATGCTTGGCCTACCCCACTTGGCCCGGTCCTTTCCCCTGAGAGTGGTGTCTGGCCACTCATCTTCCATCTAGGATGAGGTTCTCAAAGAGGAAACCCCCTTCTACTGTACAAAGTTCCCTCTGCTAGGTCATTCCGCCCTATGCCCTTCCCCTCCTACTCCCACCCAATCTCTGATTTCTGGCCCATCCTTAAAGGCTCTGCACAAATGACACCTCCTTCAGGGAGCCTCCAGATTCACACCAGCCTGAGATTTCTCCAGAACCCTCAATGCCCTCTGCTCCTACCATTGCAACAGCACTCATTTCTTATGTTTTTCTTCAGCAGTGGCGCTACTGGCATTTGAGCAGGGTGATGCTTTACGTCGTGGCCCTGGACACTTTAGCAGGCATCCCTGGGTCCTGCCCACTAAAAGCCAAGAGTGCTTAGCATCATTTTTTTTTTTAAGAGTTTATGCATTCACAGTGACGGACTTAGCATCATTTTGACAACCAAACACACTTTTCCAAATCCTTGTCAGGAGGGTGGGGCCACCCCCAGATGAGAACTAGTGCGTGGTTATTAGTGACTATATTTGCCAGCCCACTAGGCAAGTCTCAGGACGGGCGGTACTACAGACCCTGCATAGAGCTGCATCGGCAAACAGTGATTTAGTGAGAAAACCAAACAAGCACCTGGGCTCCTCAAGTAGCTGAGGGCAGCCTTGCAAGGGCCTCTGCTCTAGAACAGGTGGCAAAGCACAAAGGTTCTAAGGCCTAACATGCCTGCATTGGCTGTGTGACCCTGGGCAAGTTGCTCAACTTCTCTGAGCCCTTCCATAAAATGGGGCTAAATCCTAGCAACACTGCAGGATTTCTCTAAACCTCAATCTCCTAATCTCTACAATAGGGCTAAAATTCCCTGCTTTGTAGGATTTGGTAGGCATTAAATGAGATAATGCACGTAACACAGTACAGAATCTGGCACACAGCAAGAACTCAATAGATGTTAGTTGTTAACATTGTTATTACTATTGTCTAGGGCTGGCAGGTGGCTCATGCCTATAATCCCAGCACTTTGGGAGGCTGAGGTAAGTGGATCGCTTGAGGTCAGAAGTTCAAAACCAGCCTGGCCAACGTGGAGAAACCCTGTCTCTATTAAAAATACAAAAATTAGCCAGGCGTGGTGGCGGGTGCCTGTAGTCCCAGCTACTGGGAAGGCTGAGGCACGAGAATCGCTTGAACCCGGGAGCCGAGATCATGCCGCTACACTCCAGCCTGGGCAACAGAGCGAGACTCACTCTCAATAAATAAAAAACAAGTAAGTGTTATTATTATCCAAGTTAGGGGCTCATCAAATTATGGGTGTTACTCTTCATTACAAAAATGTGTTTCGCGTCCTCATCACAATGCCTGCTTCCTCCACAGGAACGGTATACGAGCCGCAGTCTGGAAGGGGATCTGGGGCTCACCCTAAAGCTGTATTTGCGTGTCCTGCACACTATTTATTCTGAAACTGCACGTTTTTGTGGGGTGATTAGGGAAGAGGGCGGCTGACTCCCCCAAAGCCCTCCCCTTACTGCAGCCCCCGCCTCCTCCGAGGAACAAAGGAGCTTATGGGGACATAAAGCCATCCTCTTCTCTCTCCTCTGGAGGCAGAGCTAGGGGAGGGGAGTGGTTAACGGCAGCACAGCTCTAGGGCACCTGAAGTTTCTGTCCCCTGCGTGGGGACTCCCAATACCAGGCTGGGGAAGGTAAAAGTTGCCTTTAGGAAGATGGACACTGCAGGTCCCATGTGGAGGCCAGGTACCCCTCTCTTGCTGATGGCACTGAGATGCCCTCCCCAAAGCTCCATCCCTCCCCCTCAACCTTCTGAGGGAGATAGGAGGGGCACCAAGTGAGAGCGGCCGGGGTGCAGGCTGGCAGAGCTGTGGAAGCACCCCACTTCCTCAACTTGGCAGTGCAGGGGCTGGGGGAAAGCCAGGAAAAGCTCAAGGCTGGGTGGGGTGGCACCCCAGGCAACGAGCCCCAATGCTGAGAGGGGCTGGGTCCAGCGTCCCTGAGAGTCAGGCGGACACCTCTCTGCATTCACAGCATACTGCAGCCCCGAGGTGAATTTAGGTCAGAAGGACCAAGTCTGTGAGGCTCCGGCTGAGAAAGGAGGTGCGGTGGGGGTGGTTAAAGGGCAGACGGAAGACAGCCAAAGGTCCCCTAGGTCCCCGCAACTGCTGGCCTAGGGTCCTGCCTCCTGGTGTCCAAGCCACTAGGGCCTGGGTTTGCCCCGAGATAGGCAGGCTGCGGCGTGGGGGTGCCCGAAGTCCGCTGGTCCTCTCTTCCCGGGAGCGCTCCAGGTTTCCCCACCTGTCAAACGCGAGGGGATGGGCCTCGGCCGCCTCCACGAACCCTGACGGCCCCGGCCCCCAGTGGCAGCGGTTCCAAACTCCAGGACCGCCCCTGCCACCCGGACAGGGCGCGGCCCAGCTGAGGAGTCCATCCCGAGGCCCAGAGCGCCCTGAGGACGCGGGGGAAGGGGTGTCGGGGACCGTGTCCCTCCACGTGGCGGGGCGTGGGGTGGCGCACGTGGGGTCCCTCGGCGTTAGGAGCCCCAGGCCAGCTTCGGGGCTTTGTGTGTCATGCAGAAGGCGGTCCCCCGCCTTGAGAGGGAAAAGGAGCCGGCGCCCGGCGCCGCGGCGGCTGCGTCCCCAGCCCTGGGCCCGACTACCGCCAGCTCACCTGGGCTCCGCGCCGCCGCTGCCTCCCGCCCTCTGCGCCCCCGGCTCGGCTCGGCTCGGCTCCGCTCCGCTCAGCTTGCTCTGCGCGGCCGCGCGCTCCTCTCCTCTGCCCGGGTGGCGGGCGCGCGGGGGGCGGGGGCGGGAGGAGCCGCCCGGCTCGGCTGGGGCGCGACGCCGCCCCGGGCAGCGCGGGGATTGGCCACGGCCGCGGGAAACCCGAGCGCGGAACCGCCCGCGCCCGCTGCGCACCGCCCCCTGCGCGCCCTCGCCCGCTCGACCCCGTGACGGGGAGGAGTGGGGTGGCGAGAGCCTGCGAAGACTAAAGTAGTGGCGAGGCGGCGGGCAGGGAGAAGAAAGAAGGAGGCGAAGAGCGGGGGAAGGGAGGCCCGGCCGCGAGGATCGGAGGCGGCGGCGGGGAGAGCCTGGCGGGGCGCAGAGTGCGGGAGGGGGCGCCGCAACTTTGTCCTCGCTCGCCAGCGGCGCGCACCTGCCCAGGTTCTTCCCGCGGCGCCCTCGGGCGGGCCGCTCCGGCAGCGCTCGCTTTGTTTAGCCAAATGCGGGGATTGCAGGGCGCCGCCAGGCCGATCCTAGGAAAGTTCCCCAAGCCAGCGGGAACACCCGGAGCACCCCCTCGCGACCCGGCTGCTGCCCCTGCGCTAGGCGCCGGGCGGTGGATGCGGCCTAATTTTCGGGCCACCACCGACTCGGGGGAGCCCCTTTCGGCAGCCACCTCCCCGACTGACCACTTGCTCAGGGCCGGCCCTAAGGGCTGGAGGAAAGCGTTCCTCTCCCATCCCCAGCCCACCTGGATGCACCATTGAAGTTCTGGCTTTTCCAGTCGACTACTTGGATGCTTTTTGTGAGATACAGCATATTCTTCCCATTCTCCCCTTTTTGGCACCTACTTTGCTGGAGCCTTAAGTGTGCGTTGGGTCCCCCCGCTGGATAACAGCACTGTGCGGGGGAGAGGGGAAACGAAGACCTAGAGAGCTCCCTGAATTCCTGCCGCGTGGAACGACCCAGGGAATGTCTCGTTGACCCTGCCAAACGGCCAAAAGGGAATTGAGTTCAGAGGAGAGTCAGCCTCCAAATCAATAAAAGTTTCAAAGCCCTTTGGTCAACTGGGTGGATTTCCAGCCCGTTTCAATGAGCCACTCTGGTATTTCTAGGCTGTAGGGTCACTCACATGCAGTGAGCCAATGAAAAGATCACTTCCACTCCTACCCCCACTCCCACCGCCACCCTCACCCCCACCCCTACCCTCACCCCAATCCCTTTTTTTGGAGACAGGCTCTCTCTGTGTTGCCCAGGCTGGAGTGCAGTGGCAGGATCACGGCTCGCTGCCACCTCGACCTCCCCAGGCTCAGGTGATCCTCTAGCCTCAGCCTCCTTAGTAGCTGGGACTACAGGCACATGCCACCACACCCGGCTAATTTTTTCTATTTTTTGTAGAGAACAGCGTTCTCCCTATGTTGCCTAGGCTGATCTTGAATTCCTGGGCTCAGGGGATCCTCCTGCCTCTGCCTCCCAAAATACTGGGATTACAGCCAACGCACTTGGTCATCCACCTCTTCTGATGTTACTCAACATACATACATTTGTTGTAAATGGTAAAAGCCTGAGGCCGGGCGCAGTGGCTCACACCTGTAACCCCAGCACTTTGGGAGGCCTAGGAAGGCAGATCACTTGAGGCCAGGAGTTGAAGACTAGCCTGGCCAGCATGGTGAAGCCCCATCTCTATCAAAAATACAAAAATTAGCCAGTACCGGTGGCTCACGCCTGTAATCCCAGCACTTTAGGAGGCCGGAGCGGGTGGATCACGAGGTCAAGAGATCCAGACCATCCTGGCCAACATGGTGAAACCCCGTCTCTACTAAAAATACAAAAATTAGCTGGGTGTGGTGGCGCGCGCCTGTAGTCCCAGCTACTCCGGAGGGTGAGGCAGGAGAATTGCTTGAGCACAGGAGGCAGAGGTTGCAGTGAGCCGAGATTGTGCCACTGCACCCCAGCCTGGTGCCTGAAGAGACTCTGTCTCAAAAAAAAAAAAAAAATTAGCCCAGTGTGGTGGCGGTTGCCTGTAATCCCAGCTACTCCAGAAGCTGAGGCACGAGAATCGCTAACCCAGAGGCGGAGAGATCGCACCATTACACTCTAGCCTGGGCGACAGACCAAGACTGTCTCAAAAAAAAAAACAAAACAAAACAAAACAAAACAAAAAAAACACACCTGGGAACAACTTCCTATATGTTCGTCTAAGGAATGGATAAATGAAACTCATTTCAGTTGTTTGACGGAATACCATCTAATAGTTAAAAGGGGTGCATTATGCTGGGTGTGGTGGCTCATGCCTGTAATCCCAACACTTTGGGAGGCCAAGGCAGGCCAATCACCTGAGGTCGGGAGTTCAAAACCAGCCTGACCAACATGGAGAAACCCCATCTCTACTAAAAATACAAAAAATTAGCGGGCCATGGTGGCACCAGCCTGTAATCCCAGCTACTCAGGAGGCTGTGGCAGGAGAATTGCTTAAACCCAGGATGCAGAGGTTGCGGTGAGCTGAAATCTCATCATTGCACTCCAGCCTGGGCAACAAGAGTGAAACTCCATCTCAAAATATTTTTTAAAAAAATTTTTTAATTAAAAAATAATAATATAATAACAACCAGGTGCAGTGGCTCACGCCTGTAATCCCAGCACTTTAGGAGGCCAAGGCAAGTGGATCACCTGAGATTGGGAGTTCAAGGCTAAGGCAGGAGAATCACTTGAACCCAGGAGGCAGAGATTGCAGTAAGGCAAGATCGCACCATTGCACTCCAGCCTGGGCAACAGGAGCAAACTCCATCTCAAAAAATAACAATAATAACAAAAAATAAAAGTGGTGCATTAGATCTGTGCTAACATAAGGAAATCCCAAAAACATAATGTTGAGTAAAAGAGGAAGTTGCAGAATACAGCATGATGCACAATTTATGTGTATCTTACAGTCCCACACAGTAGATACTGTTCATGGACACATGCTTACATACAAGTTTTTTTAAAGTCAAAGGGAAGAATATACATTAAGTTCATGACAGTCTGCCACAAGAAGAAAGTAGGCACAGAACAGGAGAGGGAGCATAAGGCATGTTGTCAAGTTTTATCCCTTTTAGTACTAATAAATGGCTGTGAGGCAAATGGCAAACTGTTAGCAGCAGTCAGTTCTGAATGAGGGATGCAGAGTCCTGTACTTTTCTATATTATTGTATTTTCCCCTCCCCACCTCCCCAAATATGTATCAGAGCTGGTGGAGATTATCTGGGGCATTTATGACGGTAAGGCAGGGGTCAACAGACTTTGTAAAGGGCCAGATAGTAAATATTTCAGGCTTTGCAAGCGATAGGCCCTCCAATGTGGCTACTCAACCCTGCCATCCTAGCAGCCACAGGAAAGAGTAAATGAATGCATGTGGCAGTGTTTCAATAAAACTTTATTTACAGACACTGAAAGCTGAATTTCATAAAATATTTATAAGTCACAAAATATTACGGTTTGGGTTTTTAACCGTTGAAAAATGTGAAAGGCCAGGTGTGGTGGCTCACCCCTGCATGTGTGATTACAATCTTAGCATTTTGGGAGGCCAAGATGGGATGATCACTTGAGCCTATAAGTTCAAGACCAGCCTGTACGACATAGGAAGACCCATCTTGACAAAAAGAAAAATGTAAAAACTATTCTTAGCAGGCCATAAAAAACAGGTGGCATGACAGATTTGGCCCATGAGCAATAAATAGTTTGGCAACGCTGCTTTACTAAGGTGACCAGCGTGGGTTTGCGTGTCCTTTCCTGTTACTGGATGTCTTTTCCTGCTACTCGTCAAACAGTTCTGTACGTTTACATCATGTTACTAAACTGCCTGTGTTTTAGTAGGACACTGTAGCTCACAAAGGCAGAAACGTACATACACATACAGCTGTGTAAACTTAAAAGTTTTTTAAAAACTTAAAAAAAAATTTTTTTTAACATTTAATTTTATACACAGCTGTGTAAAATTAAGTAAGAGCCAGGCGCGGTGGCTCAAGCCTGTAATCCCAGCACTTTGGGAGGCCGAAGCGGGAGGATCACGAGGTCAAGAGATCGAGACCATCCTGGTCAACATAGTGAAACCCCGTCTCTACTAAAAATACAAAAAATTAGCTGGGCATGGTGGTGCATGCCTGTAATCCCAGCTACTCAGGAGGTTGAGGCAGGAGAATTGCCTGAACCCAGGAGG